TGGCCTCATGGTGGCAGTGAGGGGTACGGCTGGCCAGGCTGCTTCCTTTTAGGGGCTGGAGCAGTCCAGGAGGTACATCAAGCCAAGATGATTCCTAGAGCCCAAGGCAGGCAGGGAAAACTCCACAGAGAACATCTGTGTGCTCCACAGAGCAGGACACACCACTCACACACCGGCACCTACAGAGCACCTACTCTGCACATGCTGTCCTGCTTGTTCTGGTCAGTCTGTCATGGGCCCACCCAGCTCCGTCAGCCCTGCCTCTTCTCTCTCAATGCCAGAGCCCCTCCACAAGTCTCCCTCTGACCCTGGCTCTTATGCACCTGTCTCTCCACCACGGCCACCTCAGAAGTACACCTCCACCTCAGAGGTGCCTCCTGACTGCCCCCATCTTCCTGGACATACCAGGTTCTCACCCTGGAACCTGCTGGTCCAGCTAAAGACACCCTCCTCCCAGTGGTAGCACCCTTGGGTTATCACTGATGCTTCTCTCTCCTACACTGTAGCCTCCCTCAGTCTAATGGACTCCAAGTTAGGCTGAATTTGCTTCTGAAAAAGAGGGAAGAAAGAAGAAGCACCACTTTGGCCTCACCCAAAGTGCTTGCTAGGCTTGCTAGACCCTGGGGACTATTACCAGGGGCAGGAGGAATGGAGGCCCCTATTCACCAAACCTGTCAGAGGCCACCAAATGAAAAGTGTGGGCCCAATACTGTCACTCTGATTCAAAAACTGTCTATTAAACAAAATCAAAGCTCCTTTTTTGACCCACATCTCAAGGTCTGTCCTAGCCCCTTGTAATGCGTTCCAGCCTAGTGCAGTATACCTGGACATCCTCCCTGCCTTTGCACCCACCCCAGCCTTCTCTGGAACTCCACCCATCTTGCTTCCTTGGGTTCAGCTCAGATGTCAAATGTTATTTCCCATCTCGGATGTCCTAACTTTGAGCTCCAGCCACTGCCAACCCCCATGCATCCTAGCTAAGTGTTCTGAGAGCATGCGCCTGCTTCACCTAGTCACCCTGTGCCCAGAACACAGCAGATGCTGAAAAAATGCCTACTGGATAAATAGATGAGCATAAACTGAACAGAGAGACTGCTCTAAAAAGTGTAATGGTGATTCTCTCTTTGAGTCTTTGCATTTCAAAGTCTTGAGGTAACCAAAGAGAAGCCAGGGAAAAGCAACTCCAAATATCAACCACTTTGTAATCTCCCAGAGTATGCATGTGCTTACATACATGCATCTGTGCTTGCACACACACACGCACAAATGACACATATAGGCATATGTATGCTGACATGCAACGAACTCACACATATGCACTTTTACACGGACAGGCACACATGGATGTACAGTTCCCTTGCACACATACACACAGATAAACTCAATCACATGTACATACAAAGTTATGTGCATATACATGTTTGCCTAGATGCACACAGGTGCATACATGTACACATACACCTGCGCGCACACACAACCACAATGAACACACAAATGGCATTGCACATGTGCATAGTACACATGGGCTCACACATACCAATGTAAGCATGCATATGTAGCATGTACATGAATGTAAGCATGTATATGTATACACGCACACATTTGGGTTTGTGCACATATACACAGCCACACATATACACACACAGCCAAATGTACACAAACACACATATGAAAATGTTGGAAAATTTAGCAGTTTTGTTGTGGTTTCAAAGTGTCTCCCAAATACTAAAGAGACAGCCAAAAGTGGACATCTGCCCAGAGGCTACTGAAAGGCTTGAGCTGCCCTCTGTTGTGCCGAGGACGTGGGATCCATCAGCTTGCTCAGCTGAACAAGCCCAGCTTGCTCATATCGCTAGCCTCCTAAGGCCATCTGGGGCTATGCCTTGGCTGAGGCTCTTGTGCAGCAGAGTTGTGTGTGCTGCTTACAGGTCACGTACGTCACTCTGGGCTCATGGTCTTGTGTAGGACCTGGTATGTGCCACCGCTGGTCAAGGGTTATCTTTGCTATCTACTCTCTGGCAAGCACTTTCAGTATCATGTGTCCAACAGCCAGAGTCTTGCAGCATCCCCAGTCCCCAATTCTGGAACTTGGGAAACAGTCCAAGCCCTCACTGTGCATGATATAAAGCTGCAATCAGCCCAGGTCCACCTTCAGCCATGTTTTATTGTGGAAGGCCTAGATATGCAACTCATGAAGATTCAGGGGTGTTCTCTTGCTCTCTCACAGGCCTTTGCCCATTAGTGCAGATTATATCCCACAAAGTACACAACACATTCGTTTGGGAACACACTCCTCTTGGGAAAATGTTCCCGAAATAGCAAAGACTCCAGATGAGTCAGAGTGGTGCCCCTAAGATGTGCCTCAATCATGCCTCACTTCCAGATGCTCCTGTCCTTTGCCTGACACATCCCCCATATACGAATGGTCTTCCTGACCACAGGACCCGGTAAAAGATCCCTGAGCCCATGCGTTCCAGCAAGAGTGTGGGCACTGCAGGTCAAAGATGTGGAAGCTTCAGATATGGTGGGGCCTCCGAAGCCAAGAAAATGGTCATGTACACCAAGAAACATAAGCAACTGCTATGCTTCCTCTGCACTACGTAGAAACTAAATTTCTCATTAAAACGGAGAATGTACATGGAGAGGCTGACGGCCTGGAAAAGCCTGGACACAAGAGGCCTGCGTCCCTGGATCCCAGTGCACCCAGTGGGCTCACAGATGGAGGATACAGGAGCAAGGGGGAGCTAAAGGAGCATGGCCAAGCTCTCAGGGTCTGTGGAGGGCTCCTCATAGCCAGCTGCACATCAGGGGAAACCCAAGGTGCCCGTGGGCAGCAGAAGCCTCAACAGGAGCCTGACCATTTCCTCCAGGCCTTCCCTCTTCAGGGTGCTGAGTGCAGAGTCAAGCATGGCAGACAGGGGCAGGCAGGGAGCTGGACCCAGGTCCATGGTCATCTTTTCTCTTCATTCATTCATGGTTTCTGAGCACTATGGGGTGCAAGGCATGAGCAGGCCTGTTCTTACCCAGCAGCCTGGGCTCAGTCCCACATCTCCTGCACCTGCCTTGCAGGGAGCAGCTCTCGGTAGCTACTGCTGGGCAGATAAGTGAGTGGAAAAGTGAAGGGTACACAAGCCGGTGAATAAGTGAATGAGCGGCGAGTGAATGAATGGGTGAACTAGAGTGGGTGAATTAGAAAATGAATGGTTAAATGATTAAGCAGAAAAGCAAATGAGCAAAGGAGGGAGCAAGTGAACATGTGAATGAGAAGGTGAGAGTGAAGGGGAGGGCGCATGAAGAGATGCATGCAGGGATGGTGTGGGTGGGGCATGGACAGGTGGATGGTTTGAGCACTGCTGCTGTGCTGCCTGCCACCCAAATATGATCTCTGCCCTGCACACAGCACAGCACGGCACAGTGCAGGGCACTTCCATAGATAACAGTCTCAAGCAATCTCTCCATCTGATCCCAACATCCTCCATGAAACCCCTGTCTGGAAATGGCCCACCTCTCACTTAAGAACTCATGGTCCCTTTCTCACTTGCCCAGCAGGCTACGAACACACTAAAGCCTTGCTGGTGCTTTCTCTGGCTTCACTCCAAGTTCACTGAGTGCCCACTGTGTACAGCCAGGCTGGGAACACAGGCACATGTTGGCTCCTGTCTCCAAGGGAAATGGCACAGAAGACCCCTAAGCCCCCCAGGGGAAATGTCCAAAACCCCCACATTACTTTTGCCCCTAAAGCCCTCTGAGTATCACAGGGTGGTGCAACCATGCTGTCTCCACACTCTCCTTCACCAACAAGCCTTGGGAGAAGGCAGGAAACACACCATGCATGAAGAGCCCCAAACCTCATAGACCTCCCGAACCTCACAAGACACCCAGGCACAGGCACCCTCCTGAAGGGCAACTGAGGATCGCAAACACCATGTCTCTGCCCTGGAACCGCATCAAGGAATACAAAACTGAAAAAGGATCACTCAAAGGGGACACCAGCACCATTCTACAGGGGTTCCAGACTGACACCTAAAGGGAACACTCATATGAAACATGTCCAAGGTCACCCCTGTCCTGTTCCAGAAGCCATGGGTAAGGACACCCCTGAGGACCACAGAGCACTGAGGCTCACTCACCACGCAGCCGGGTCGTACTCAGCCCAGACCCGGATGAACTCGTCCAGGTGGTGAGGCCCTAGGATGGAAGAGTCCCGCGTGAGGTACTCAAAATTATCCATGATCACAGCCACAAAGAGGTTCAACATCTGCGGGACAGGAAGGAGAAGAGGTAACAGAGAGACCTTAACCTGCCCTCTTGCCCCACCCTCATCTTCCAGCCACAGTTGTATAGGGCTGTCCAGAGAGCAGGGACCAGTCTGCTTTGACCAGTGCCATCCAGACCTGCTCTCTGATGATGCCTAGGTTCTCAGCCCCAGGGTTCTAGATCCTACACACACACTTCCAACATTCAGCTACTCAAAGGCTCTGTTCTCTGCTGCTACGGTCCTTTGCCAATTCAGGCTCCATGATCTCATGCCCACAACCCACCCTGATGCCCAGGTGAACCCCTCCCCTACTCTGTGAGGGGCACTATGTCCCCTCAGGCTAGCCTTCTATAGAGTCAGTAGTGTGAACTTAACCAGGCAGCAGCTTGGGTTTTCTAATAGAGCTGAAATTCACATAACATACAATTAATCATTTAAAAAATAATTAACATATTTACAATATTGTGCAACCATCTCTCTAGTTTCAATTTTTTTTCATAATCCCACAAGACTGTCCTGCACTCATTAATTAATCACCCCTAGTTCCTCACCCTATATA